GTTAGAGCCTAGCTAGTCCAACACCTTCGATAAGCATACTGAGGACCAGAGAGCGGATGTGATTTGCCTAAGGTTATACAGCAAGGTACTGGCAGGACAGAGATTGAACCTACCCGTCTTGCCTGCTAAACCGGTGTTTCCCTATCCAAGTCTATTGGGCCGAGTGGGACTGGGATGCTGTAGAGTGAGGAGGCCTCTTCAAAGCGGAGTGAGGCTGACACAACAAGTGGTTGGAGATGATCTGGATCCACCCCCACCCAAGAGGGGTCCGTTCTACAGCCACCTTCTGGGATAGACATCTGCTTATAGCAGCTAAGATGCCACTAGTCACACTACACCCCAGGATTTAGAGTAAGACTTCTGCCCCCTGTCACTCCTATCTAGCCCTGTACCTCCCTCCCCAAGGAATGCTCACAGCCAGGCCGCCCTCAGGAGGGAGTTACTCCAGGGCTGGCTCGCTGAGTACCACAGTCCTAGGGAGACTTTAGAACCTGAGGAGTCTATCTGAAACTTTCAGGATTGTGGAATGTTTCCACACACACACACACACACACACACACACACACACGCTCCCCCGTAGTCTTCTACAAGGCCGTGGCTTTGATGTTGGTTGGTAAGAGGCATGATAGATTAATTTATTCAGAGTAAGGCCTGTCCCTAATCTACTCCCAACACCATTGATGGTAAGTGACAGTACTTAGAGCACCGTAGTGGCCCATAGCCCACTGTGGGGGTTTCTGCGGAAGTAAGTATTTAATAACGTCATCTCAGACTGCCAAAGAGCTACCAAGTCATGCAAAGCCTAAAAGCCAGGGACCGGGGATTAAGAAATTAACATAGCGTGGCATTACAAGGATAGACCAATGAAACAAAATAGATTCCAGAAGAGCCCCACATTGATGACGAAGACGTCAGATCCCAAAACTGCATGATTCCATTTATGTGAAGTTCAATAATGGGTGCAGGTCATCTGTGGTGGCAGAACTCAGAGGAGCATTAGCTCTGGGAGGGTACTGACTGGAAGGGACATGAGGGAGCTTGCCAGGGGGCTAGAAATGACTTGTAACTTTATCTGAACAGTCATTACATATTATATCCAGATGGAAACTTACTGAGGTATACAATTAAAATTTGTGACCTCAGGTAAGTTATCTTCCCTCTCTGAGTCTCTGATTCTTCATCTGCAAATCTGAGACAATCAGACCTCCCTCGTAAGTTGATAATGCAGACAGCTCCTGGCACATAGAGCCAGGCAGTCAGTAAACACTAATGGTTAAAAAAAAAAAAAAAAAAAAAAAAAACGTTAGGGAGGTAGAAGAGAAAAAAATAGCCCAATGACAACAACAACATTCATCTCAGTATCAGTTTGGGGTACTTACTGAGCACACGCCAGGCACTGTGCAAAGCACTGTTTGTGCATTAACTCACATCGTCCTCACAAAATCACTTACTTACAGATAGGTATGATAAAACACAAAAATGTTTATATGAAGTGATCCTTGATGTAAGCAAGAAGGAAAGGTGTTACATTCAGACACTGCCTTGGTGCTGGGCAATGCTTCTCAGTCGGTGCTGAGTAGTTAGTTACCAAGTGGCTCCAGGTTCCAGCAGCCCAAGGTATTGGGTTGGTGCAAAAATAATTGCAGTTTTGGAATGGCCCGAAATAAAAAACAAAACACACAATTACCTTTGCAACAACCTATAGATCCCTGGCAGGGAAATGGAGAAGGTAGAGGGGCAAGGACTTTGGAGTCATGCAGATCTGAGTTCAAACCCTGGTTCTACCCCTGCTAGCTGTGTGATATGGGGCAAGTTGTTTAACCTCTCTGAGCATTTGCTTTCTCATCTGTAAATGGGGTTAATAACATGCTGCATAGGAGATCTGTAATGAGTAGAGATTATGTGCGTCATATGCCTGGCACATATTAATTGCTTATAATTATTATTAGTTATTATTTTTCCCCAAATAACTCTGATATCAGCTTGCCCCACTCTGCATGTCCACAAGAAAACGACCGACACTCTCCCCCAGGTCTGCCTGGTAAGGGCCAATCTAGGGTGTGAGGCTGGTTTATTCACTCGTTCACCGATGAAAGGATGTCTACCAAGGATCTGCTCTGCACAGACCACTGGCTTTGTCTACAAGGTATCAAAACAGCGGGGAGGCAGGAGCAGATGAGACCAGGCCTCAGAGGGCACGCCCTGCCCAGCTCCTACTGCCCAGCTCCAGCCTAGCTGCCCCCTCCGGCCAGGCACCGCGCTCAGTCATAAGCAAACAACCACACTAGAGCGCACCTTTCTGTGTTTGCATTTATTTTGAAAATCAGCATTGCCTCTGATTAAATGCCATTACAGTTCTGGGCTCACTGGATCCAAAGAGATTAATGGACTTGAGGGTGCTGCTGGAATGAAAATGCCTCCACAGCTGGTAGTAAGTAAATGCCAGGAACCTGGCAGGGGTGAGGCCTCTGGGATATTTCCTGATCAGCAGGCGACAGACCCTATTTCCCTTTAAGGCCATTCAGGAAAGGCCAGAGGTGGCCTCCCATCCCATCCAATCCCTTCACCACTGGAACCAAAGACTGTATTCTGCCTGAACGCCTCCCACGTACCAGCCTAGAAGCCACCAGTGAAGGCAGCAGAGTCAGAAGCCCCTACTTGTGTTACTGGCCAAGTGACCTCAGGGAAGACATTTGCTCTCTCTCAGAACTTTTCACCCCATCTGTAAAATAGAAGGAGGAATTATTTTTCTTATCCCTTTCCCTCCAAGCAGCAGAACTCTTCCAGAAAAGCCCAATAGGAAGCTCAGGCATTAGCGAAGCTGCCCTGGGGAAAGCAGGGTGCTATCTGTTTCGGTGTAGCCTGCCTATACCCCACACACCCCCCAAGGCCCTCGAATGGGTTATTGAAGCACTGTTCCCTAAGTCAGGGGACAACAGCTTTTCTAGAAGGCCTGAGCCAGCCACAGCGAACGTTTCGGCCAAGCTCCTGGCAGCAGCTCTGTGCACTTTGATGTGGCCCCTCCTTTGTGGCCTAACAGGAAGAGTGAAATCAGGGAGACCCGGGTTTTAATCCCACCTCTACTAAGCCGTGTGACCTTCTCTCTCTGAGTCTCTGATTCTTTGTCTGCAAAATAGAGACAATGAGACCACCCTCGTAAGTTTATTATGGAGAAAAGGGCCTGACACAGGGAGTTAGGCATGCAACAAACGCTAATGGTAAAAGGAGAAAGAGCGAGCAGAGCCCAAAGATAACATAAGGAAATCAACAAGCACCACCCAGCTACTCTTCTGGAACGCTAGCCACACGCTAGGCACTGTGCTCAGCGCTGTTTGTACCCTAACTCACATAGTCTTCACGACCCCTGGACATGGGGAGTAGAATAGAGAAGAGCACTCACAGCCAGGTGTGGTGGCTCATACCTGTAATCCCAGCTCTTTGGGAGACCGAGGCAGGCAGATCACCTGAGGTCAGGAGTTCGAGACCAGCCTGACCAACTAAAGAGACCAACCTGTCTCTACTAAAAATACAAAATTAGCCAGGCATGGTGGCACATGCCTATAATCCCAGCTACTTGGGAGGCTGAGGCAGGAGAATCACTTGAACCCAGGAGGCGGAGGCTGCGGTGAGCTGAGATTGTGCCATTGCACTCCAGCCCGGGCAACAAGAGCAAAACTCCGTCTCAGAAAAAAAAAAAAAAAAAAGCAAAAAAGCATTCACCTCCACTGGGTGTGGGCCCCTTCCTTCCTTCCTTCCTTCCTTCCCTCCTTCCTTCCTTCCTTCCTTCCTTCCTTCCCTCCCTCCTTCCTCCCTCCCTCCCTTCCTTCCACCCCAGAGCACAGAACATGTTGCTGCACTCCTCAAAACCCTGAAGTAACTCCACAGTGCCTCAAGGTCACACCCTAGACCATTACCTTATTTCCCCACACACCCCAAGGAACCCTGCCCCAGCCCTGCCAAACTTCACCCATTCCCTTCCCCTTCTTGCAAAGCCACTACCTGGAAAATTCCTACTCATCCTGCTGGGGACACCAACCTGTGGCAGGCCTCAGTGCCTCTTCCTCACTCTCCCTGGGGTTCTGCTCACACCCTCTCACTGCCTGAGATACAGTAGGAAGGATTTAGATGTGTATCTGATTCTAATGCTAAGCTCTGGGGACTGGGTCTGGTCCTCCTGTGAGCCCCTATACCTAGCATACAGCAGACACTCTTAAAACGATCAATGTTGAGCCTGGCCACATGGCTCACACCTGTAATGCCAGCACTTTGTGAGGCCAAAGTGGGAGGACTGCTGGAGACCAGGAGTTCCCGATTACAGTGAGCTATGATTGTGCCACTGCATGCCAGTCTGGGCAACAGAGCAAGACCCCGTTTCCAAAAACATAAAAATGAAATTATGAATGTTGTTGAAAAAGTACAAATCCACCCATTCCTGTGGGAGCCTGTGGCAACCAAGAAGCAGAAACTGAGGGACAGGTCCTACCCACTGGCCAGTATTCCCTGGGACAAGGGGGATGGAAGGGGGGACACACAAAGCCCACCTCTTTTTTCCTGCTTTAGGAGGCTGATGCAGTTGGCTGCTGCTGTTCCCTTTTTGCCTGATCCCTTGAGATCTGGGAAGTGGGAAGGAGAGGGGAGGACAGGAAGAGGGAAGAGACAACGGACAGGCCCCACAGAACCAGAAGGATTAAGTCCCACTGATTTTGCATCATTGTTCTCTGTGGCCGCTTAGCTTTGTGGGCCTCAGATGGTGCAAACGAAAAGCAGGTAATGGCAGAAGGGGCTCCGCATGCCCCTGCAGGCTGCCATGTGCACAGGGTTGGCCTAAATGACCTGAAAGAATCTTTCTTGCTCAAAGTTTATAATTCTCCAGACAATGGGCCCCATTAAAGACAGGGGGGCCAGACTCTGAGGCCTCACCTGGACACACAGGCACTTCCTGGGCAGCCTCGACCAAGCCCACGTTCCCTGGCACAGCAGCCCTGAGCTCTTGACCTCACCTCATTGACGTCGATCTTGTTCCTCTCCATGTAGTCTCTGTCATTGACCTGCCCGCCGTCCACAAACTCCATCAGGAGGACCCGCTCCGTGGACAGGTCCCAGTGGATTCGGGGGACCTGGGATAGGAAGGGACAGGTCAGATGGTCTGGGGAGGCTGGGAGTCGGGCAAGGACGACAATGTGGCACAGCGAGCCAGACAGCAACAGAGGCTCCTCCCAGAGCAAGGGAGAAGAGGCCCAGGAGGGACCTCAGTGTTGACAGTGGGGATGGGACAGTCAGGCCAAGAGGGAGGCCAGCTACTCCACCTCTGCTCAGCAGGCCTCCACCCACTCCTTTAGAAACCGGCTTTGCCGACTCTCCTCAGTGCCTTCTAACACTGTTAAGAGCCAAAACTAAAACTGGGACTTGGGAGGAAAATGTTGGAACGTGGAACGCCTCATACCTGGGCATTGCTATTAAGGATATTTCCTCTCCCCATCCCACCACCAGGCCCACTTCGGGCTCCTCCCTCTGCCTCCAATATTTCACCTGGGTAATGGGTGCATTGTGTGTATTAAGCAAATGACTGAATTTTGACCAGATGATAAATTTTGTTTCTCATGCCTGTTTCCTGTAGGAAAACATGTTTCCTGGGGCAGACAACATTGGATATTAACCCAACATCTATTCCCAATCCTGCTCTTCCCTAGGGATGAAAAAAACAAAATACTGGGGCTAGTTGGGGTGCCTCACACCCGTAATTCTAGCACTTTGGGAGGCCGGGGCAGGTGGATTGCTTGAGCTCAGAAGTTCAAGGCCAGCCTGGGCAACATGGCGAAACCCTGTCTCTACAATAAATACAAAAATTAGCCAGGCATAGTGGTGCGTGTCTGTGATCCCAGCTTGGGAGGCTGAGGTGGGAGGATCACTGTCAAAGTCACAGTGAGCTGTGACCTTATATATCACACCACGGCACTCCAGCCTGGGCAGCACAGCAAGATCCTGTCTGAAAACAAACAAACAAACAAATAAACAAACAAATAAAAAAACCTACTTTCCTTGCCTGCTTTATAGTAGGTATGGACATGTGATACAGTTCTGACTTATGAACATAAACGGAAACCTGCTAGGGGATTCTGGGAAGGTTTTTATTTCTTTGATTAAAAAAAAGGGGGGGTATTTGCATAGTGCTACTCTTCTTCCATTTCTCTTCCTGCCTTGAAAGTGAACATGAATGTGATTGTTGGTGCTATAGCAGCCATCTTGCAACAACGAGGAAAAATAAAAAAAATTATAAAGAACTGAGATGCCAGCTCTGATACTGTCAAACCATCAAAACCACGTATCAGTAGGCAACCACTGCAAACCTTCTTGCTATGTGAAGACAACGAATTCTTTTGTTTAAGGCATTCTAAATGAGGCTTTCAGTTGCCTACAGACAAATGCATTACTAACATACACTCTCCAACCCTCTCTGACTCTCACAACACTCAAAAGCCAAAAAGAGAACAGATTTCTCCAGGAGCAGGCAAAAGATTGGAATGCAACCAGACTGCCATGTGAGCAAGGGACAGCTACCAGTACCCCCACAGCCAGGAGGGAGGAGTTACTGGGCTTCCAGCATGCCAAGTCTCCCCCAGATTGTGAGGAGTTTATTTCCTCTTACAAATAAAGAAACATGGGCAGCTTTTTCAAACGTTTTGGAGAGTAAGATTTTCCTTTACCCTGACCACCCAAATTCATCTAGCAATAACATAGTGGCCCTCAAGTCAACAGTCCTTAATTCTTAATTAATCTTTAATTCCTGTTCTTAATTCTGCTAATACTGTTGTGTCTTAGACTAGCCACTTAACTCCTTTACATCCCAGTCTTCCTCACTGGAAAGCAGAATTGTTTCTGCCCTAGCTCAGTAAGGAGCTCTGAGGATAAATGGAGGCTGTACATACAAGTGAAATGCTCTAGTTGGAACAAAGTTTCCAAAAGAAAGCAAGGTGTTATTTTGGTTTGCTGCCTGCCTGCGGTTTCTGCCATTTGAAAATCTGGGCCAATAGAGAAATCTGTAAAACTGTTACTTTGAACTTAAAATTCAGACTTGCTTGGCATTTTTCAAAAAGTTTCTTTTTGAAAAAGTGAGTGCATGTTTGTTATTGTTGCTTTGTTGGTTTTTTTTAGAGACAGGGTCTCATTCTGTCACCCAGGCTGGAATGCTGTGGCATCATCATAGCTCACTGCAGCCTCGAACTCCTGGACTCAAGAGATCCTCCTGCCTCAGCCTCCCAAAGTGCTGGGATTACAGGCGTGAGCCACCATGCCCTGCCTGTTGTTTTTGTTCATGGCTTCCAAATGAATGGGACATAGTTTCAGGTTAAATTCTTCCCTGGGGTTTGTTTGGAAACCTATGTTTGACAGTGGGCCCCTAAGGCTCTGGAGACAAGAGGTCAAATCTCTAGCCAGGCCCATCAGAGGCAGCTTAAAAAACAGCGAGGGGCTGGACGTGGTGGCTCACGCCTGTAATCCCAGCACTTTGGGAGGCCGAGGAGGGCAGATCACTGAGGCTGAGGAAGGAGAATCGCTTGAACCTGGGAGACAGAGGTTGCAGTGGGTGAAGAGTACGCCACTGTACTCTGGCCACGGTGACAGAGGGAGTGAGACTCCATCTTTAAAACAAACAAACAAACAAAAAAAACCGCTAGGAAAGAGTCACAGGTGGAAACAGAAAACCCCCAGGCTGGAGCTTCCCTGTGCTTGTGCATCAGGGTCCTGGGTGTACTGGGGTTTCCCCCTCTGGTCTCCCTGCAGACATCACCATTCCAGTCTAACCACAGAATGTGCCCCTTGCTTCTGCTGCTTAAATCTGAAATGACTAAAATATCAAACCTGGGAAACAGCGGAATTTGTCGTGGGAGCTTCAGAACCCCAGGTGCCCCTGGACAGACATAACATGGAAATGACTGCAAAATGCCAAACTGCTCCTGCTTAGTTAAAAAAGTGAGCTGCCCCTAAATCACCAGATGGGCAGGAGGACCTGGGGGTGTGGGGTGAAGTGAGCGCCCACATTTCCTGTCCTATGCTTCTTCCATCAAGGAAGGAAAAAACGAAAAAGAGACATTTGAAAGAGTCAATAAGCACCCCACACTCCCCACTCCACCCCCAAACAAAGCAAAATGAAACTCTAAGAAGCTCATGGCCAGGGTGCTCAGTGGCCCCACCAGCAGGGTCACACCCTGACCATTAGGACCCCTGGGTCCAGGGTCTACCTCTTTGTCACAGAGCAGAGGCCTCCCTCCTGTGGGCTCCTCCAGCCTCCCACACTGATGCCAATCTGGACCCCAAGAAGGAGGGTGACGATTAGGGAAGTTCCAGCCCAAGACCCTGGGCCTCAGCCTCACAGTCTGGCCCTGACCTCACATTTCCGCTTTGTTTCTATGCTTTGGTCAATGTGCCCACGAAGCAGGCTGTGCCTGGCTTGTCTGAGACAGCGCCCATCATCCTGGGCCCACAGTCCTCCTGGAGCCTGAGTCCAGCACAGCAGAAGGCCTGGAGACCTGGAGTCAGACTGGAATATTTGGAGTGAGGCTGCTGGCTGGAGCTCCAGCTCTGCCATCTAAAAGTTGTGTGACTGTGGGTAAGTTATATAACCTCTCTGAACACCAGTTTCCCCACCAAAAACATGGTGATAATGGTTACAGTGGAAGCACGACCCCACCCCCGCCCCCATTTCCTACTACTATGAGCAGAGTACTGGCACTCAACACGGAACTAGACACTAGCAGCTGCTGGAAAAAACATTGATTGCTCTTATGACGGCCACATGGAGTTTCACAGAGGGCTCTGATACACACCAGGACTGAGAGTTATGCTCTAGACAGTTCACTGAAATTCACGTCTTCCCCACAAAGTAGAACTACACGGAGGGGGAACGTGCAGGCTCTGGAGCAGGCTACCTCTATTCCCTGCCCCTTAGTGGTGAGCCCTGTGACCCTGAGCAAAGGGTTGATCGCTCTGGGCCTCAGTCTCCCAGCTGATGATATGGGGCTGGTTATGGCACCTCCCTTGTGAGGCTGTTGTAGGGATTAAAGAGTAAATACATACAAAGCACACTGCAAAAAAAAAAGAAAAAAAAGAAAAAAAGTTATATATTAATTACTATACATCAGTGGTTCCTAATCTTTGAGATTCATGGGAAGCTATCATACTTCCCAAAAAGCAAGCATCTCCTCAGGGTTTGTCCACAATTTCTAGAGTCCTGGGCTCCTTACCTCACACGAAGGAACCCTGGCATGGCCCTGCACACCTATCCCCACCTCCACACACATAGAAATGCTCTCATCACTTCCAGTCCCAAACCTTGTGGTTACAAAGCTTCTCCCCGCCACCTTGTCCCCAGTTGTCCCCCAGGTGAGTCAGAAACCCTACCACTTGTCCTGTTTCCTTCCCCTAGCACATACGCTCTACTGCCAGATCCACTAAGCCTGGCTTTAACCATTCAGCCTAGCTGTCCCCTCACCCTCTCCCAGTCCCCCTGACACCATATTTGCATTCAGTGCTTGTCTGAGGCTGGCAGATTTATAGCACAGGGCTGAGGTTCTTAAACCCCACATAAGCACCAGAAGATGCCTCACACACTGAGAGGTAAACTCTTTGCGGAGGCTTAATTATGCACAGATGTTGTGATGGGGAGCCAGTGTGCAAAAGCAATCTATCTCCAGTTTTAAGATCTGAACTGGGTTCACAGTGCAAAATTCACTTCCCGCTTATTATGTGTTTAGGGAAAATTAATTACTCAAGAGCCTTAATTCCACCACTGTCTTAGGAAGGGTGTGCAAGTTTTGGAAACAGCAGGTCAAATTGGTATATTCATTATTTACCCATTTGGCATCCTCATCTGAAAACTGTGTGTGTTATTGTTATTATTGCATGTCTTGGTCTGGCACTTGCCAGTTGGCCCCAGCCAGGGGACAATTTTGCTGTTTCCATGGGAACAGTGGAGGAGATGGGTCTGTCTGGCTCACATAGTTCTGGCTCTGAGGGGCACCCCTGCCGGTAAAAGGCAGCAGAGTATCCTGAGAGGAGCACCACACTTGAAGTCAGAAAATCTGGGATGTTGCCCTAGCTCCTCTACTTAAACTGTCCTCTGCAATATGGGCTGATGCCTGCTGGAGGGACTCAACACCACAGTACCTGCAGAGTGTTCAATGCAGCAGCTCCTGATGAAGAAGAGATATTCAATATATATCACCTATAGTCAATACTTCTTAGAAGCACTCACTGGAGCCCTTTACCCTGAGTAGAATTACGTACTTCCTGTTAGGAATCCACAGAAACACAGACAAATGCCTGTCACGGTGCTAACAAACGTGCACTACAACAACACGTTGCTGTATCTGTCCCTCCACTAGATGAGAAGTTTTCCAGAGCAGGGACAAACCCCAGCTCCCAGTACAGCAACAAGCTTGGGAATAAAAGAAATGGGATAAGCAGTAGAAGCATGTCTTAGACTCTATAGCATTATATTAATTAGTTAACATTATCACTTGTCTAAAAGAGCCAAGTTTTCACTGAACTGGTGTGGTGTGAGCTCCAAGGTTGGGACAGTGACACCAGACCTAGGCTGCACTCCTGGATTTACGCACACAAGAGGGTCTGTACATCCACATGTACAATGGCAGCCAACAAAATGCCAGTCAAGCATATTGTGAGAATGGAGACAGACCCGACCCTCACCACACTCAGCTAAACTTCTTCTTGGGCTCTATCTTCCTCCACAGTCAGTGTGTCAAGACACTGCACTGATCACCACAGCTGTGGTTCTTCCTCCTGTGGATTCTCAAGTGGTTAGAATAGACACATCTTCAGTCGCTCCATCCCTGTGAGTCAATCGGGAGAGCAAAAGTATAAACACTTCCTCCATTTCTCATGACGTCTTCAAAAGCCACAAGGACACCTTAGTCAAGAACGATAGTGTCCCCTCTCCCTGATCCAACGTTCTGAGCCATCCTCCCCAAGAATAGCACGGCTTGACTGTTGGCTCTGGAACCTGCACATGGAGCTGCTGAGGGCTTGGTGACCCCTCTCCTGCATTCCCCAGGCCTGCTGAGGAAGAGGGAAGGGTGATCTCTCCTAGAGTTGGAAGCCAAGCTCAGTGTAGACAACCAGAAGAGCCCTCTAAGCCCTGCACTGCTGGGAAAAAGGGGGTAACCCTGTGTAAACAGGCATACACCTCAGGAACGACAAATGTGTTGGAAGAACATGGTGTGACATACATCTCTCTCCCCAATTCCTGTGTGCCCTGAGAGAACATCAGGACGGTCCTTAAAGACCAGCTCCAGTTGGGCGCAGTGGCTCACGCCTGTAATCCCAGCACTTTGGGAGGCCAAGGAAGGCGGATCATTTGAGGTCAGGAGTTTGAGACCAGCCTGGCGAAAATGGCAAAACCCCGCCTCTACTAAAAATATAAAAATTAGTCAGGTGTGGTGGCACACACCTGTAGTCCTAGCTACTCGGTAGGCTGAGACAGGAGAATTGCTTGAACCTGGGAGGTGGAGGTTGCAGTGAGCAGAGATTGAGCCACTGCACTCCAGCCTGGGTGACAGAGTGAGACTCTGTCTCAAAAAAATAATAATAATAAAAATTAATTAAAAAAAAAAAAAGGACCAGCTCCAGGGCCAGGCACAGTGGTTCATACCTGTAATCTCAGCACTTGGGAGGCCAAGGCGGGCAAATCATTTGAGGTCGGGAGTTCAAGACTAGCCTGACAACATGGGGAAACCCCATCTCTACTAAAAACAAAAAAAATACAAATATTAGTCAGGCATGGTGGCACATGCCTATAATCCCAGCTACTTGGGAGACTGAGACAGGAGAATCACTTGAACCCAGGAGGTGGAGACTGCACTGAGCTGAGATCATGCCACTGCACTCCAGCCTGGGCAACAAAGCGAGACTCTGTCTTAAAAAAAAAAAAAAATACCAACTCCAGTGCCAACTTCTCCACAGAGCCTGCCCTGACCCAGTAGGCCATGGGAGTCCCTGCTTCTGAATCCTCAGAGCACACAGAAGCCGTACTTCTCATGGGGCCCTGACAGCTGCGACTTCATATTATCTGATATTGTTTCCCACATTAAGTGTCTCTTATTACATAGAACAGTTCTGTTATAATACTTGTTTTGAAAACACAAATTTATTCCAATGCAATGGATATGTTAGGGAACAGTTTGATCATAATGCAGATTTTGGATGTGCTTATGTGTACTATCATCTGCGAGAAACACTGGAATGCAGAAAGCTGCATCCAGCAGAGCCGTGCCACATTGGAATACACAAAACAAACACACCTCGACATCGCTGCGAGTCAGTGAGTCACCCACATCTGGCCTTACAACTTTCTGTCCCATTTCTTTTGTTGTTGTTGTTCCTTGATACGGAGTCTCACTCTGTTACCCAGGCTGGAGTGCAATGGCACGATCTTGGCTCACTACAACCTTTGCCTCCTGGGTCCAAGCGATTCTCCTGTCTCAGCCTCCCGAGTAGCTGAGATTACAGGATTGCACCACCATGCCAGGCTACTTTTTGTATTTTTAGTAGAGACAGAGTTTCACCATGTTGGCCAGGTTGGTCTTTAACTCCTGACCTCAAGTGATCCACCCACCTCCACCTCCCAAAGTACTGGGATTACTGTCATCAGCCACCATGCCTGGCCTCTGTCCCATTTCAAAGGACTCCTCCCACCATCTCACAAAACGAACAAGCAGCAACCCTTCTGACGCCCACTTCCACAGCAGGCTCAAGGTAAAGTGCCATGTGTATTGTGGTCTTACGTATTTCTTAGCCATTTAACATGTGTGAAACTATGCTACTGGTTTTTATTCATTCTTATCTTCTTTTCTTTTCTATATTACTGTATTACTGATGAATTTTTTTTTCCTTTTTTCTGAGACGGAGTTTCACTCTTGTTGCCCAGATCTGAACGCAGTGGCGTGATCTCAGCTCACTGCAACCTCCACCTCCCGGGTTCAAGCGATTCTCTTGCTTCAGCCTCCCGAGCAGCTGGGATTATAGGCACACGTCACCACGCCAGGCTAATTTTTATATTTTCAGTAGATACGGGGTTTCACCATGTTGGCCAGGCTGCTCTCGATTTCCTCACCTCAGGTGATCCACCTGCCTCTGCCTCGCAAAGTGCTGGGATTACAGGCGTGAGCCACTGTGCCCAGCCACTGATGAACTTTTTTGAGTGTTGTACCCCTAACTCTATTTTCCCCATAAGCTCTGTGGTTTCTGTTGTGTGATTTTGTATAACTGAAGTATTTCTAGAAACACATACATTTTGTTACAGCAGAACCAACTGTATAAGCTGAGGTAAAACACATGTGTTTAAAACAGTCCCAGCGTACAGTAGTGTTAGCTATCAGCGTCGCCATTATCATCATCATCCCACGCCTCATGGAGGCAGAGACCACAGCATATAGATTCTTGGCTAGGGCTCAGTGTCTTGCAGTTGTCGTTTATTCAATAAACATCTGTTTAACTGACTAATGGGTCAACAATCACACTTGATATTTCTTTGCAAATTGCCTTCAAGGGATTTAATGCACATCACCAGTGACAAATCATTCATCCTCAGTAAGAGGACTCAGAAAGAAGATGTCCCAATTATGTCCTGAAAGGGATACTCCAGGCAGGGACCCACATACCACCACACTCTTCCACCAGACCGCCATGCCCCCCATTGCCTCGTCCCGCCTACCTTCAAGAAGTCAAAATGCTTGAGCATCTGGGACACCTTCTCAGCATTCCTCCCTTCATTGAGGAAATCCAGCTCCAAAGGCAGGTTCTTCTTGGCTTCATCCACAAGCCACATAAACTCAAACTCTGGGAATAGCTGCTTCACAGCCAGAATGAGCACCTGAAATCCAACAAGCACCCCAGTCACGGGGTGGGCCCACAGCACACACCAAGCGACATTCCCTACCTTCCTGCCTGGTTCTCCTCTGGAGTAAGGGAAACTGCTCCCCTGAGGCCCATCCCTCCTCTGAATTCCAGGAGGGAAACATAGCAGGCCCCTGCTCTCCCATAAGCTCGATACTCTGCACCAAGTCCAAGATGATGATAGCCCAACAGCCAGCATCGGTAACCATGACTACCATTTGCTGAGGGTTCCCCTCGTGTCCAGCACTAACTAAGCACTTATTTTTTATTTTATTTTTTAAGTTCTGGGATATGTGTGCAGGATGTGCAGGCTTGTTTCATAGGTAAAAGTGTGCCATGGTGGTGTGCTGCACCTATCAACCCATCACCTAGGTATTAAGCCTGGCATGCATTAGCTCTTTTTCCTAATGCTCTCCCCCACACCCCAATCCTTGCCCAACAGGCCCCAGGGGTGTTGTTGCCCTCCCTATGTCCATGTGTTCTCATTGTTCAGTTCCCACTTACAAGTTGGAACAAGCGGTGTTTGGTTTTTTTTTTTTTTTGTCCTGCATGAGTTTGCTGAGGATAATGGCTTCCAGCTTCACCCATGTCCCTGCAAAGGATATGATCTCATTCCTTTTTATGGCTGCACAGTACTCCATGGTGTATATCTACCACATTTTCTTTATCCAGTCTCTCATTGATGGGCATTTGGGTTGATCCCACATCTTTGCTATTGTGAATAGTGAACTAAGCACTTTACTTACTACTAAACTTAATTCTTGCAACAATTCTGGGAGGCACACAGATACACATCTTATCATCCCTTTTCTATTGTTGTTTAGACAAGCTGTCACTCTGTAGCCCAGACTGGAGTGCAGTGGCATGATCACAGTTCACCACAACCTTCACTTCCAAGGCTCAAGTCATCCTCCCACCTCAGCCTCCTGAGTGGCTGGGATTACAGGTGTGCATCACCACGTCCAGCAAATTTTTAAAGTTTTTTTTGTAGAGGCAGGGTCTCACTATGTTGCCCAAGTTGGTCTCAAGCTCCTGTCTTCAAGCAGCCCTCCTGCCTCAGCCCACCAAAGTGCTATCCCATTTTATAGATGAGGAATCTGAGGCTCTGAGGGGTTATATGATTTTCCCAAAATTTTCCCAGCAGGGAATCACTGAGCTAAAATTCCCCTTGGGAATTCCACAGCCAACTCCACAGCCCTTGCTCTGAAGCACTTAGCTCAACTGCTCCTGTGGCTGCTCCCCGATCTGTTCCTCGTGGTCTGTTCACAAAGCACTGGGAGGGTGCTGCAAATGTAACTGTCGCTACTTTATTTCTTAAGTTGAATGTTTGGTGCTTGAACATTTATAATACTATTTTCTATACTTCCTGTACATCTAAAATATTTCATAATAAAAAACTAAATTGGAATAAGAAAACACGACTAGATCAGACAAGAGGAGAGAGAGAGAAGGAATTTGACCACCTGGATGAAAAACTTAGATTTTCGGCAATTTGGCTCCACTGTGGATTCTTGAGTGATGACATGATAAGAGGGGATTTTAGAAGATTTATCTGGCATTCAGGGGTCAGTTTAATGATGTGAAATTAAAGAAGGGCCCAGTGATCTGTGCATAGCATACCACAGCCCCCTCCATGGGCAGGGACTCAATCCTAAGGCTGCCCCACCACCAGGGCTCTGGATTTGAGATGGGTGCCCAAGTTCCTCGATGATGGCTCTGTAGTGGGTGAGCAAGGGTGATACCAGGGACATAGGAGGTGTTCCAGTATTCTGGGAGGGAAATAGAAGGGCCCTGATCTCCCATAAGCTCTCCTGCTGGCATTCAAAGCCAGGCCTGGGGAGAAGACTGACTGACTGACCCAGTAATTCTTAGTATAAATGACAGTCCGAGTTATCTGAGAACAACCATCTCTAACCCTGGCTACAGCAGATGGCAATAAGAACTAACAAGCTGTGGGCCTGATGGTACCAAAAGACCTTCCCCTTCCCATCTTTCCAGAAAGGCTTACTGAGCCCTAGATAAAAGCCTTGTCTCATGCTTCTTTTTGCCCTGTTCTATGACATTTTGCTCAATGCTGTGTTGGCAAAAGAAATCAATCTAAAGCCAGACTATTAACTACAAGGCATTTACAGCTTTGTTTTCAAGCCCTATGTCCTGGGTGATGTACCAGATGCCATTCTAAAAAGAATCATCACACAGCGTTATCATGCTCAATTTCTACCAAAACTTCTTTTAATTACATTTGGCTGTAGTTTAATTTCTTTTGAGTTTTGTCTGGTCTTTCATGGGCTAGACCTATGACCTTATGATAATTGATTTAGTTTATGTTTTGTTTGTATCACGCAAGACTAGAAGGGAGAGGGGGCAACAGAGAGGCAACAGAGAGGCCCGGACTGTACGCCTCAAGCCCTGGCACCTGGGCATCGCAGCCTCCAGCATCACATCCCATCACAGTGCCCTCAGATGGCCCTCGGCAGTGACCAAAGCAGAGGCAGAGCAAGTGAACAGGAAAAAGAAGAGATTCCCTCAGGCCCACGCGGAGGCCAGTCATGCCATCTAAGTCACCTGAACTCTACCTTTCTGGGCTCGGAATTCAGGCAAGAAAAGCTTTCCAGCATTTTGTTCCAATCTAAACTCCAGAGGGTCTCACCCGAGAGGGGCAAGGAAAGGGGCCACAATGAGGCTCTCTCATTTGTTCAATCAGTATTTACTGATTACCCTCTAGGTAATTACCATGGACCAGATGTGGATATGCACAGAGAGCTACCTGTAGCCCAGTGAGGTCTCTACTTGAGGGTGAAGCTTCTGGCCAAACAATAATTCCTCATCATTTGTTGTATGGTCACTGTTTTTTGTGAAATTTTTAATTATCATTGATATCCAAGCAGCATTGAAAGGCACATTAAAGGTTTTCCAGTTACTAATCAATTATATAATTAGTCATTATTAATACTATTCATTATTATTAACACTTGATAATACCTGACATCATTAATCATAAGCAGTCAATTTTATTAACTAATATTAATTGCTAGTAACTAATTAGTAAGCTAACTCGTAACACAGAAAACTTTACATTGCTCATCGAACTGGTTTCTAAGGCATCCTGTGGGTTGTGGGTCACTTCCCTGGTTACTTTAAAATGAAGGGGGTTCTTTGAATAGAAGTCAGTGGTTCTCAGATTTATGCAATGTCACCATCCCCTTTATAGGAGCTCACCAATTTTAAAACTTGATACCAGCTACAAAGCCCAGAAAATGAACATACATAATTTTGCACATAATTCAGGGGGTTCACCAACCCCTTGAAATTCAGTGGGTGGGGAGGGGGTCAGGTTAAGAGTCGTCGGGTTCAAGTAGTTTGGGCTGCTGCCATTTTTAGACTTTTCTTGGCTGAAGAAAGTAACATAAAACTCAGTTTCACCGTCTGGTTTCATTCAACTCTGTTCTTAAATGAATCTACTTAGCCTACCTTAAGCAGATTCATTTCAATTTTTCTTTTTGACAACACATGCAATCAACTAAAATAAAACAGATGTTGTTATCAATTTGACTTTGATTTTTCTCCCAAAATGCATCTTCTCCATAAAATTCTTCTAACAACCAATGTTTCCACCAGTGCCTACCAGCTACTCAACACTCTGCAAATGTTTATTGAATACTCACATGAATGAATGAATGAGTAAATGAATGAACAAATGAATATTTCAAAGATTTTGTCTGCTTCTCTGAGATAATTATATGTTCACATGTGTTATCCAAAGAAAATGAGTTTTTCTGTTTCTGAGGTTTTAGTGGAAAGAGCCATAACTTCTGAATTTGGGAGAATCATAATTTCAGAAAGCCTGAGAGTTCTCTACTTGAGCTGGAACCTTAAGAATCAATCAAGGTATATTCAAAAATTAATACTTCCTTCAAGGTAAAACAATGAAACTATCTTCCTATAGGGTCATTGGCTTGCAGGAGGAAAAATCAATCATGGGCCACACAGAAATATAATGGAAAAAATGAAGAGTCACACATAAGTTTGAAAACTAGTGAACAGGCCAGCCGTGGTGGCTCACACCTGTAATCCCACAGCTTTGGGAGGCCAAGATGGGCAGATCACTTGAGGTCAGGAGTTCAAGACCAGCCTGGCCAACACAGGGAAACCCCATCTCTACCAAAAATTTAAAAGTAGCCAGGTGTAGTGGCATGTGCCTGTAATCCGAGCTACTCAGGAGGCTGAAGCAGGAGAATCGCTTGAACCCAGGAGGCAGAGTTTGCAGTGAGCCTAGGTCATGCCACTGCACTCCAGCCTGGGCAATAAATAGAGAGAGACTCCATCTCAAAAAATAAAAAATAAAATAAAATAAAACCAAGAAAAGAAAAGAAAAAGAAATAAAACAACTGATTGTTATTTAAAATAGCAAAAGAGAAGGGGAATTATCATTATTTAGTTCCTACTACACGCTAGGCACTGTGCTATGAACACTTTACACACACACTTTCATTTAATCCTTTTCTTGCCAATTTTACATAGTAGAAAACAGGAATTGTCAAAACAAAATCTGACCTGGGCTTCTCTTGTTCATTCTTTATGCAGCCCTGCCTCATGCAACACAACACAACGACACAGGACAACACAATAGGAAGCTCAAGATAAGGCAGAGAAGGAGCTTTGTAAACTATAAAATGCAACTGGAAATGCAAGTTACTGTTATCAAGTTATTGTACATTATAAAAGAAATAATGTGCTATGGGAAAACAGCACACTAAATAGAATGCCTGTACAGATCCAAACTGGTAAAAATGAATGTTCAACAAGAGTTGAAAATCAATTCAGAGTGATGTAAATAGCTTGCCATTCATTGGGTTTATCTTTGTTCTGATAAGTTATTAAAGTACACACTTTTTAGAAAATAGATTTATAGGGTGAAGTTTCCTTGGGTGGCCCACATCTCTGGATACTTTTTAATATATATTTTAAAAAATAAAA